TATATATATATACATACAATTTAATTTTTTATATATATCTATCAGATTTTTTTTTAAATAATATTAATATTTGTACATAGAGTTTTATAAAATTATTTACTTACCATATATAAAATAAGGCCAATTATGATTTAAAATTATAGATAGTAAGTTCCCGAATGGAATTGTTAACATATTCAAATAATCGCAGTATCGATCGATTATAGATAAGATTAATCGCATACTGAAATCATCGGAAATTACAAGTCACGATTATTACATAAAATCAATAATATTATGGAATGATTTATCTAAGAGATGATATAAGTCTAACATTTTAGTGGATAAAATGTGTTGTTTGCAAGCAATTGTTGAGTAAAATACAGTATTCCAAAAGCAGTGAACGTGAATAAATATAAAAACAAGACTCTGTGCAAATATTTATTTGACAACTGAATTTTTTAGTGTTACACGTGACATTTATTTTCAATTAATTAATATTGGATTTTATTTATATTAAATATTATTTTAAAACTTAATTTTATATTAACTTATAAAATGTCTACGAAAGTGCCGCCAAATGGGGGATATGGATGGATTATTGTTATTGGTGGAGCACTAAATGCCGTAAGTTATTATAACGTTTTATCAGAAACATACAAAATCTGTCAAAATATCAAAATTTGTGCCACGAGTAGAAAACTGAGATTAATTTAAATAAAATTTTTATAGCTATCTACCATCCCGATTATACAAGGATTCGGATTGATATTTAAAGATTCTTTTGCAGCACTTAATTTAACTGCAACAGATACGTCAATTATAATTAATGTAAATTTGGCATTTGGTATGATACTCGGCTTAATCAATGGGCCCCTCTTGAAGATCTACGGATATAGAAAAGTGGCGATGGTTGGAAGTATTATATATGCAGTTGGTATAACATTGACGGCATTCGCCAATACCTTTACTCTTATTATAATTTGTTATGGAATGTTAGCCTGTAAGTAAAACAGAATTTGTCAAATATTATAATAATACAATATTTATTATATATTATAATAATATTTTATAGCAATTATTGGCAAACAATATTATATTTGCTAAAAATTAATTATCAAATTTGTCTATATAGCTATTGGTATGGGTACGTCGTTGTCTGGATTCTCTTTGGCGATCAATACTTATTTTACAACGAAACGAGGACGAGCTATAGGCATGAGTGTGACTATCTGGGGGCTGGGTCCAATCCTTATGCCTCAAATAGCATCCTTTTTACTTTCATTTTACGGTGTTCAGGTATCGTAAAAGTTTTGATAAAAAGATAAAAAAAATCATTAGCAAATCAAAAAATGTAACTGATTAAAGAAATGTATAGCTCTTTAATATTCCTGATGCGTAGGAAATGATTATATAAAATAAAAATATTGAAATGTGAAGAGTTAACTCTGCCGGATAGAAAATATAATTTGTATATATACGTATACTTAAATCTCAAGAGGCATCGTCCGATGAGGCTTTACGACGAATGTTACTGATCGTAAAGACCAATAGTAACTGCTTATCTATGTGGGTCAAACAATGGATATTTGATTATTTTCTATTACTAATTGCGATCTATAACTAACTTATATGATCTTTTCTCTATGCATTGCCGCTCTGTGACATCATTTATAAATGCCTTATAAGTCAAGGATTAAAGAAATACATTTGTGATTATTGCAAAATGTACTTCTTTAATTCTCAACTTATTAAAAGTTACAACTGCTTACAAATTGCTAATGATAAGACAAAAATTACTATAAATTTTATTAAACCAAAAACATATATAATATTAAATAGGGAACCGTTTTGATACTTGGCGCTTACAGTTTTCACTCGATGATAGGCGCAATGCTGCTACAACCGGTTAAATGGCACATGATAAACGTGCCCATCTGCTTAGAGACAGTTATTGAAAATCCCACAATTTTGACTGATAATAGTGATAAAAAGATTTTGACTGATAATAACGATAAAAAAGGTATTTGTTAATTAAAAATATATACCTGATATACTTCTTAACGATTTTACCAAGAATTCATTGTAGAAATTACACCGAATCATTACGAAGAAGATGAAACGAGTACATACTCTTCGACATTAAACAATTATCAGAGGAAAAGGAAAACAACAATATCTAGCATCAATCATGATCTCGAAGTTGGAAGCATTTATGGATTCGATACGTCCTTACCCCGACAGATTTCTACAGACGGAACAAGTATAAACCTTAATTGCCTTATTAATTAATAATAAGTAAACTAGTTGATAAATAATTAGAATAAAAGCGACGCTAAAAATACAACTTATACATTTTAGTGTCTTATGATTCAAATTACGACATCGAAATGTCAGTTATTAATAGAACATCAAGAACAAATTTACATGATAATCGCAAGGATTCAAAGTATCTAAGGAATTCATGTAATTATATAGTAATAAAGATTGTATTGTGATTAATTTTTTCAAATTACACAATAAATATCAGAAACAAATTCAGATTTGTAATTAAATAATATGAAAATAATGTATCTATTTTTACAGCGAAAAGTATAGATAGTATTCATCTCGGTAGCAGCATAAAAATTTTTGACGAACCTATTCTATTAACGAAAAAATTGACCTTTGTCGATAATAATGTCGATAATAATGTAACCGAAAATAATGTTATAAATCAGAACAAGGAAAAGGATTCACTATTGAAAAAACAGACGAATAAATATTCAAACAAAGAAAATAGTGACGACTAGTAAGTATAAAAATATATATATACAATATACTAACAGTAAATGATAAGTTAAATTAAATAATATTTCGTATATTTCTTTTTTTTCATTTTGTCAATATTGATGTAAAATTATTTTCTGCATCATAAAAATACGCGATTATATGATAGGAGAAGACAGGCGAGGCAACGCACATAACGGCAATTCAGAGCTAGCCAATTAAATTTGGGTCCTAAATTTTGGTCTTATCGCACATCCCTCAAGTTGTCACACAACAGCTAATCAAATTTGGATCCTAAATTTGATCCTACTGCTCATCCTTCAAGTTGTTTCGCCTATCTTCTTCCATTATGATTACAACATAATTATAATTATATATTGAAAATTAATAAAATATATAAGATACTATTTTTGGATATAACAAGTGAAATAACAATCACGTTACAGTGATAAAAGCAGTTCGTTCATTCGTCGAACTTTACGACGAATAGCTGATCTTTACGACTTCGATCTTCTACGCGATCCGATTTATGTGAACATCATGTTGGGGATGTCAATTGCAATTTTCGCGGAAATAAACTTCTCTATGTTAACACCATTTATCCTCGCTGATATGGGTTTAACAACAGCAAAAATTGCCAATATCATGAGCATTCTCGCGATAGCAGATCTCATAAGCAGAGGCGCGGCACCTTATCTGGGCGAGTGGTCACGTCTTTCACCCAGAATGATGTACATGCTCAGCCTGTTTCTTCTGATAATTAGTAGATATTGTAATGTATACCGATTATCTTCAATTATTGAGTTTTGATAAAAGAAGAAAAGATAAGAAAAGCAAGAATTTTAATATAACGATAGATCAATCTTTGATTACTGTTTACCGCAGCATTACTATTTGCGAATGATTCCGCTTCAATGGTGGCCGTCGCAATCGGTTTGGGAGCGGCGAAAGGAATTCGGTCGGTATACATGGCTTTAGTTGTACCCAGTTATGTCCCCATTCAAAAGTTACCCAATGCCTCAGGAATTCAAATGCTAACCAACGGAATGATACTCATGAGCGCTGGTCCCTTGCTTGGTACGTGAATAATATTATATATGAATAATATTATATAAAATAGTTAAATTCAGCCATTTGGATATAATTTGTCAAAAGTTGGAAAACTGAAATAATAAAAAGTCTACTTGCTACAGGTATAATACGAGATAATACTGGAAATTACACGATTTGTATTATCTTACTCAACTGCGTGACCACTATTACATTGATTATGTGGACAGCGGAGATACTTATACGAAGAAAATTCAACTGGTAAAAATTGCGATTCTCAGGAACATCTTAACACTAAACTGAATATAATTATATTACTGTAAATAAATAATTTCTAACGGGACACAAATTTCATGGTAAAAACGCGATTAAATAATATAAATGTATCCTAAATATATTGTACATGAGAGAAAAATTATATACGCTGTAATTTTCAATTTCACAAATCATGAAAGGGAATTAAAAATACTTCCGCGTTTCCTCTAAGTGGCATGTTAGATTGTCATGATCGTAATTAAGGTCGTGTCCTTGTTCGATACCATTTACCATAGAAATGGATTTAATTAAAGTGTTAGTCCTCTACAGACACGACTGGAGTCTTTAAGACAAACAACAGCGGTAGACCTTGTAAACAATGGTACATCTTTTCCCACTACCTTCCGGCGGGAGTTCTCACGTTTCGCTGCGACAAGCAACGTGTGATCCTCCTGAAGAGACCTGAAAAGGAAGTTCGAAGGTCAATGAATTGTAGATATTGTTGCATCAAGCAAGTTAATTTATTCGACTCTGTTAGTTTCATTTTTTCTCTCGCGTCAAGTTCTTGCTCATTAAGTATAACACCATTTTCATAGAATCGAATGGTTATAATATACGCACGATATCACCTAATTTTCCTGTATGACTTGAAGTGCGGAAGTAATTTCGTTCCTTTTCTATTAAGAAGAATCTAAATATATAGGAAAACTAAGAGACCTACTAAATATTTTTGTTAAATATATTTTTAATGCTGTTGTAAAAAAAGAAAAGATAAGAAACGAAATTACTTCCTATTTCAAACCATTGCAAGAAAAATAGGTAATATTATTTTTAATACAAAGTGATTTAACAATATAAAATATTGTTAAGTATTTACAAATGTATGAAATACTTGAATTACTTTTCCATACGATTTTGCTTATGAATGAAAGGACAAACTCGGAATTCGTGACGCAAAGTCCCATTTCACCGTACAATTGAATTGAAAAGAACTGACTTACGCGATATATGCATATAAGCATATCACGTACGAGTGTATATTTAAATGCAGCAATACTCATTGGATAGTCGTGTCACTTCTTGGCAAACGTCCAGCTTTACGAAATCGGCGAAAGTAATCGAATGTGGTTGGCAAATGCATAAAAGGTGAACTCGAATAACATACAAACGCGACAGAATTTCAAAATAACCACACCCGCAATTTTCTAAAATCAAAATAATAAAACGCTTTAAATCGTTCATCACATCACGTAAGTTATGATTGACATATTAATTATCAAAAATATAATATTGTATAGAAAAATATGACACGATAAAAGTTAAAAGTATTTTCTTAATTTGTTACAATAGATAAAAAATATATTAATTGTTTTTAAACGTGCGAAATATTAAGTCATCCATTATTTATTATTTGCTATCTATTTCCTATATTTATTATTTTCCATTGTTTTTTATGTCGTGTTAAAATTAATTCCTTGCTAGATTTGGTTCAAATCTGGTTTACAGATTTGACAAAAATGCCCCGAGAATCGACATCTCTTAACATCCAGTTCACGTAGCTCGGATTGACCTGATTAATCAATATAAATATATTATGAACAATCATCTTCTTTCCGTTAAAAGACGTTAATTTTTTACAACAAAAAAACATTTTTCATTAAAATCAAATGTTAATTTTTTAAAACTTAAGAAAAGTTGTATGCAAATCTTTTAAAACTAAGAAGTTTCATGCAAATTATTTTTATTTCAAAATATTCAAAAAGTAAATTGATTAACATAAGAATTTAATGTAAAAAAATGTAATATATGTATATGTGCTTCATATACGTATAAATATATATATAATTACAAAATTAATTACAAAAATAAGTCATTTTACTATTCAAGTATTAGTTTAAACATAATTAAAATGCAAAATAATTGCATAATTCTTTCAGATAAATGAAATTATTACAATCAAACTTATCAATGTATATAAAATTCATATTTTATATTTAAAATATTTATTAACTATAATTTCAATGATGGACAATTTTGTAAGCTGCAAGTCACAACATAATGCAAATATAATATATATCATGTTGTCTTTCTTATAATTTCTTATAGTTTCCATCTTATTATTAAACGTATAAAAAAGACTTATAATAAAACTTACAAAAATACATACGTCCGGACTATAAAATATATTTATCCGGTGCACTGGCCACAATAATCACTTACGTATGTACGTAGAATTAAAACATTCACCCGTTTGTATTAAATATCATTAAATTAAAAAGTTTGTCTGAGAGAGAATGAGGTCAAGGACTACTATTTTAACGTAACTATTTACAATCGGTCACATCGTTCACGGAAACACACTATCAAAATAGTCTGCACATGCACAAATAATCGTCTTGAGCATTTTCTACACTTGATACATCATCGTCTGGCACGCGACTCCTACACAAATATTAAAAAAAAATAACATTAAACATTATTTTAAAGTTTTACAAATTTTTTGCAACAAATAAAATTATATTTGTGTAATATTCTAATTGTAGAAATTATTTTAAAAATATACTTTTAGAATGCTTTTTAACAATGAAAAATACAACATTAAATCGAATTTCTCTATTAATAGAAATTTTTATATTACATGCTTATTTATTAAATACATATTAAAGAAATTAAATATATCAATGCTTTTTAAAAATGTATATAACGAATTATATTTTGTTTTTAAAAGCATATTAGAAACTTTCTTGCTAAAGCTTGTAAAACATTACATTGAAGATATAATTTTATAAAATAAAAAGTAAATTAAAACAAAAATTTATTCAAAAATTTTAATTATAAACGTTAACTCAATAATCATACGTGCCTTCGAAAGTCTAGAATACGGCGTAGGAGGTTCAGTATCATTGTTATCGTATTCACTATAGACAGGCGACGCAAACTCCTCGTGTTCCATGATGCCCCACAAAGGAACGCTGTCTGGACCTGTGGAAGCCACAGCCAAATTGTTCACAGCCTGAGGCAGCACTTGATAGGCTTTTTCGATCGACTCGAATGTATCGGTCTTTTGCGTTATCTTTATATCTGTTTGCAAAGTTTTCTTCAATTCCTTCCTGTTTCTTTCTGCTTCCTTTAATGCCTTCTCTTGTCTGTATTCAAGATTTAATCTAGAAGTAGTTACAGTTGGCTGAGGCGTTACTATATAAACACGTTCTCTGTTCACTGAAGAAATTCCTACGGGAAAGCCTTGCCACAAATCCTCGGATGCGGTGGAAGCATCAATAGAACTTCCAGTTGACTTTTCAGTTTGTATAACCTTAAACGCAGAATATGAAAAAGAGATAAGGTATTATTTCTTATAATATTAATATGTCTTTGAAACTCTTATTAATTATTCGTACTCGCAATTCTTCCACAGGATTGCTGCCCGATCCTTTATTGTCTTCATCACTGAAGCTGAATCCACTCAAAGTAAGAATATTACTATTATCGTTATGAGAATCAGCTACATAATTAACAGGCTTAGTGGTCATGAAATACTCAGTAGGGATTTTTTTTGAAGGGAAAAGATACGGATTGCTCGATTTAGGCGATACTGTACTAACGGTTTGCGACGAATTAGGCGATATTGTTCTAACGGCCTTTGAATATTCCTAAATTAAATATAAGTAATTATTATTATTATTATTGTTATCATGTTTACTATAAATATACTAGAATCAGCACACACACACACACACACACACACACACACACAACTCTATCGTTCTTCAAAAGTTCTGTTCATTAGCTTATCTAATTTATTTATAAATACATATTTATTAAAAATACATACCTGTATCGTCCAATTGTCAATATTCTTTTGCAGTTTATGTACATCTATGGAATTGTTCGTTTTAGCATCAACTGATTTTTTAGCATTGTCAAATACCTTCGGTACAGAATCTAAAGATTGAAAAATGTGTGACGAATTCGGGGGACTAATCACTTCAATTCTGTTTCTTGATTCTTCGCCGACATAATTGTCATGATTGGATTCACTGGTATCAGTGTTTCTTTCATGCGGTGGATGGAATGGAAGTGGTGTGTATTGCGACGTATAGGGAATGATAAGTTGTATCTAAAAATTTTTGTAACAGAATTACAGTTTACAATAAGTTAAGATGGTTTCTCTCTGAAGATGTATTTTCCTGCTCAAGAAATACAATCTTATCACCTGTCTATTCCTAGTCGCACCTTGCTGCCCAGATGTTTCATCCAAATTAACACCAATGTTATCACTCAATGTTTCTTCCGCTACATCATCATTTAATAGATTTCGAAATTTTCCGTTTGTACCTATTAAAGTGAAAAAACAGTTTACTGTAGATCATCTTCTTTATTAAATTGCAAAACATCTTCTTCTCGAATATTTTTCATACCTTC